CGCACGTTCAGCATGCGCGTTGTGTCCTCTGCTCTGTCAGGTGATTCATAAGCCTTCCTCTAACTTGACGCCAGGTTCTTCAGATAGTCCAGCGTTGCGGTTATTTGCTGCATGCTGTTCATGAAGTATTTCCTGGTTCCTTTCAACAACTACATCTTAGTTTGTGTACAGGTGCTGTATGAGTACTATTAGTATTCTAGCATTCTCATTCTTAGAATATTGTCTATAATGTTATGACACACAATTTCCTTTACATAGTCAATAAAATATGTGAATATAATTCAGGTATTCTCAACTTTCAGTCAAGATGCATCTCACATAAGCTTTGATATCTTTTGTTCCACATCCTGTTCTGAATCCTCCTTAAATTTCTAACAGCACCTTATCAATGTAGTATAGCCATTTAAAAATTTTTGTTTACATATTTTGTAACAATATTTTGTAACATTGTTACATATAACAAAAAACAAAATTATTTTTGTTTTGTAACAATATTTTGTTAAATAATTTTGTTTACATGTGATAATAGTATTGATTGATAATTTTAATATTCTGTTGAATGACCTTTCTTTGTATTCGGCACAAATATACATCTCTTTTCATTGGTCATGTAGCTCTTTCCTGATTTGTTTTTTGAGGGGGGCGTAGATGAGTGAGCACTTCTATTGTATTTATTTGTTGTTACATTTCATTTGATGTTCCATCACTGAAGTCTTGATTTTACCAGTGCCTCAGTGCAGCTTTGACATCTTAATTTTTATCTATGTTTTTAATATACACCAATTCTTTTTGGTTCAGTGACTCTGTGTATTCCTTCCATCTTCTTTTGATGCTTCTTGCATCGTTCCATATTTTGCCCGTAGAAGCCATCAATATTGCAATTTGAGCCTGTTCTTTAGTTCTTTCTGTTGGGTAAATATACTGAGTATATACTTTCCTTTTGTTTTTCTAACTCCACTTCTTTGTATGTTTCATTGTAATATTTTACTTTGTCTTCTCAAGCTGCCCTTTGAAATGTCTTTTCTTTCTTCCTTGTCTTTTTAATGACCTTTTGCTCTCTTCTGTATGAGAGCCTGGATGTCATCCTACAACCACCGGGCCTTCAGTCACTCGCATTCAGTGTATCAGATGAGATTGTCTTTAAATGCAGGTGAGGTAGATTCAAAGTTGTGCTTCAGTTCTCATGGACTTGTTTAAGTTTTCTTCTTCAATTTGCAGTTGCAGATGAGCTAGTGGTAGTGTTTCCCAGTTGAACCCTGACCTCTTTCTGAGTGATGAGACTGAGCTTCTCCATCATCTCTTTCCACAGATGTGATCAATTTTATTCCTGTGTATCCACATGGTGACGTCCACATGGATAGTTACTGTTCATGTTGAAAAAAGGTATTTCTAATAAGGTGTTCGTCACTGTGAGTTAGAACCAACTTGTTGGCAGTAGGTGTTTGGTTTTTAAGTTTTTCCAATATTCTATCATGTTTACAACTTAGGCCATATTTTCTGGTATTGTCCAATAATGATCTAAAAAGAGGTAAGATTAAAATGTTTATATGCAAGAGGTACTTACAGATTTTGCTCAAAATAAGTCATTTCTTTTCTGCAGTCATGTATTATGTTTCTCTGAGGTGCTTTTTCTTGTTTTGGCCTGTGTTATTTCTGGGAAACAGAGTGCTGCTGGATTGGCTCAAAGCGTCTTCCCTAGAGTCCCTGCCTGGCTAGACTCTTGGCACTTTATCTCTTACCTGTTGTGTACTCTTAGATAAAACATTTTTATTTTCCAGGAAGTCCTTACTTGTGAAGTGAATATAATAGTCAGTTGACTCGGTGGGTTGCTGTAAGATATGGAATAATCCTTAAAAAGCACTCAGCACAATCTTTGGTGCATAATAACTACAAATGTTACAAATTGCTATCTCTGTAAATAGACAATTGACTTGGAATCCCTTTATTTGTAAGATTGTCTGGTAGACAAGTACCTGGAGCTTTAGCTATAAGGGTGCATTGTAATAATTTCATTTTTTATCGTCTTCGTTTTGTGACTCTAATCTGGAAACAACAATGACAAAAGTTTGAGTTAAAAGTGAATAGGAATAATAAGTGGCAAGAATGGGACTCCAATTTAATTTTGTGTGACTCTAGAATGTGTACTGTCATCTAATGCTCTGCTCCTTGCATGATACATGTTTGTCTATGTGACATAGAAGTAGTATGTACTTTATATTGCATAATTTTGTTTATCCTAAGATGTCATTGTTCTGTATGAATTTCACAAGGTACTAAGTCTCCTTCGCTTTTATTCTGAGGTGCTTCCTGAATAGTAGTCCTGAATGTGTGTATCATTGATAAAGTGTGTCACTAAATCAGAAAAATGTCAATAGTAATAGAAAAATAACAGGTCTTGTTAGTGATATAACATCTGTTGCGTGTTTATAACATGCCCCATATTGCAATAAGTTCTTATTCTATTACTGTGTCATTTACTACCATATACACTCGTGTATAAGCCGAGTTTTTCAGCACATTTTTAATGCAGTTTTTGTGGTAATATTAGGTGCCTCGGCTGATATTCGGGTCAGCTTATACTTGAGTATATATGGTATTCTTTGATCCTATGAGACTTATCTTCATTTTACTAATGAGGAAAAAATCCTGGTCATTTATAGGAAATTGACTCATACTGTGCTCTGGTGTGTCTAATCCCAGTGCTTTGATTGCAATTTATTCACATCCTTTATTATTGTAGTAAATGTCATCTTATTCGCAAATGCTTGGACAATGGGATTTTGAAGAATTGAGTTACTAAATAGTCTCTTTTCCTTATCATTTTTCAAGAACACAATCTTTTTAAGTTCTTAACTCACATAGTAGATAGGACTGTGTAAGCTGGAACAAGTTGTGTTTGAGAAATCTGAATCTCTGTTAGGTGACTAGATAACTCGACTAACTTGTGTAGACAGTAATTAAAATGCAACAAAAATGAAACACAAAAGAAAATATAAGGCAATGTAGTTGACAGTAATAATTGAGTGACCCTCTGATGGCCATCAAGTAGGATCCCACTCACAGAGACCTTCTGTAGGCTTTTCTGAGACAGTTTAATCTTCATGAGAGCAGACAGCTTCGACTTTGTCCTGAGGAGCAGCTGGTGAGTGATCCGGCATCCTTGTAGATAGCAGCCAAACTCCTAGCCTACAGGGCTGCCATAAAACACCACCCGCAAAAGCAACTCACTGCCACTGAAGTGATCCTGACTCATGGCGGCCCTATAGGACAGCGTAGAACTGCCCCTGTGGGTTTCTGAAGCTGTAACTTTGGGAGCAGAGAGCCTCATCTTTCTGCAGTGTGGCTGGTGGTTTCAAACTGCTAACCTTTTGGTAGCAGCCCAACCCATAACCAACCCAACAGTGGCTTTAATTAGAAGCTTTCAAAAGACGCTTTTCTAGAGATTCTAAAATACCGTATATACTCACGTATAAGCTGATCCTAATATCAGCCAAGGCACCTAATTTTACCACAAAAACTGTATAAAAATGTGCTGAAAAACTTGGCTTATAAGGATATATGGTAGTCATTCTGAAATTTTAAATGAATTTTGAAAGTTTTCTTATTAGAGGGATTAGCATCATTGAAGCATGATAAGGCTATAGTTTGATTAAGATGGCAGAACTACATGGATACTATTTTTCCATGGGTAACAGTGAGAGAGAGAGAGAGAGAGAGACTGAGACTGAGAGAGAGAGAGAAAGAGAGACTGAGAGAGAGAGAGATAGTTAGTTGAACAGGACATATGCTTTGAGCACTGTAAAGGAAGTTGTGAATGATATCCAAGACAGTCAGAAAGAGAGCAGCTTCCTGTACTGGTGCCATTCTCAGTTACTGCCTACTACAAGATGGTGATGGTTGAAGTAGAATCAGAGCATATGTTCTTGGTAGGTGCTTTTGAGTCAGTGCCAACCCATAGCAGCTCCACGTACAACAGAAAGACTCATTGCCTCGTCTTGCGCCTTCCTCATATTTATTATGTTTCAGCCCATTGCTGTAGCCACTTTGTCAGTCCATCTTGTTGATAGTCTTCTCATTTTTTTTGCCGAGTGTCTGTTTTACCAAGCATAACATTCTTGTCTAGGGACTGATCCCTACATATCCAAAGTAGGTGAGACAAAGTCCCATCATTCTTTCTTTATTTTTTAAAAATCAATTTATTGGGGACCCTTACAACTATTATCACAATCCATACATACATCCATTGTGTCAAACTCATTTGTATATTTGTTGCCATCATCATTCTCAAAACATTTGCTTTCTACTTGAACCCTTGGCATCAGCTCCTCATTTTTCCCCTCCCCCATGAACCTTTGATAATTTATAATTATTATTTTGTCATGTCTTATACTGTCCAATGTCTCCCTTCACCCACTTTTCTGTTCTCCATCCCCCAGAGAGGGGGTTATATGTAGATCCTTGTGATCGGTTCCCCCTTTCTACCCCACGTTCCCCTTCCCCTCCTGGTATCACTACTTTCATTATTGTTCCTGAGGGGTTTTCCTGTCCCAAATTCCCTGTTTCTAGTTCCTATCTGTACCAGTGTACATCCTCTGGTCTAGCTGGATTTGTAAGGTAGACCCATCATTCTTTCTTTTAAGGAGCATTCTGGCTGTACTTCTTCCAAGACAGATTTGCTTGGTCTTCTAGCATTCCAACTAATTTACCGGAGTTAACAGTCCTTGCTAATTTTGTCTCTTTTTCATTGGTTCACCTTTGGTAGCTTTTTCTGTATGTGTATGGTAGGCACTTCCTAGACTTTAATCTTCTATTATGCCCAGCAAGTCAGTCAATAGCCGTCAAACCTCCACCATCTTTTGTATTGTTACATTGGTGCCAACATTTTTATTATGCCATTAGATTTTAGTTTTTTTCTGTTTTAGACCCTTGTGATACTCAAATATAATTTTAGTATGTATATAGATATATTTATTAAAATTGTCACACCATTCTTTTATTAGGAAGTGGCTGTTTTTGTCTTTGATAAGAAGCTGATAGACAAATATCAAAAATTTGAAAAAGATCAAATCATCGATACTCTGAAACGAGGAGTCCAACAATTAACTCGGCTACGACATCCGCGACTTCTTACTGTCCAACATCCGTTAGAAGAATCCAGGTAAATTTATATAAAACTTATTATATAAGTGACTTCTTAAACTATTTAAATTAGCTTAATATTTGAAATCTGCCTATGCAATATACTGTCTCTGAAGATATAAACTAGTTTTGAGGTCTTATGGGATTATTAGTTATCTCCCCTAAACTTTATTTGTACTTTCTATGTGTATATCTCATTGAAATATTAAAAACTTTCTTCATATTTGCCAGAAGTCTGTAACCTATGCTTAGCACTATGATGTCCCAATGAAAGGTGCAAGATAATTTTAGACACACTCCCTAACTGAAAGTCCATGCTGATTTCCTGGAATTAGCTGCCCTCCCTAATTTGCTAGAGTTTTTCTTGTCTCCTTTTCATTGGTTCCACATTTGAGGGCTTTTCCTGTATGTGTCCCAGGAACTATGGTAGGCACCTTCTGTGTGCCGCATGTCAATCAATAGCCACGTCTACTTCATTGTTTGTCTCAAGAATGACTCTTGATGTCTTGCTGAGAATGACTAGAAAATGAAATTTATGTTGTGTAATCTTAGCTGGATCCTCAAGCCTGCAGTGCTTTTAATTTTTCATGCCCTTCTTTTACAAAATTTTCTGCTTTACTTATATTTCAAAACCTTTCTTTCCTTGCATATTCTATTAAACTCTCAAACGAAACTAATTCTCGTCAATTCTGCCACATAGTGATCTTACAAAAACCGGAAAAAGCTCCATTGTCCTTGACTCAGTCACAACTCATGGTGACGATGATGAGTGTCTGAGATAACGGTTTCATCTTCCTCGGGATAGATGGTGGGATTGAGCCACCCATCCTGTACTTATCAGTCCAATGCTTATCCAACAGTGCCATGACACCAATCAAGAAATATGAACTCATTGAGTTGATCCTACAGTGATCCTACAGAGTAAGACCAGGTGCCTTACAGGGCTTAGCAAGAGTGTAAATCCTCACAGCTGCTGTGGTTCGAACTGCTTACCTTATGGCTAGTGGCTAAACTCTCTTTTTAAACTGTGTATTGTAAATGGAATGAAAGTCTAACAGAGCACATTGTCCGTCTTACATTTGACAGGTCACACACATCTTGTTCCCACTCACCCTCGCAATGTATCATCACCCTCGCTTCTTTCATCCAGTGCTTGTTGTCCGTTTCCATTCCTCTCCCTTTCATAACTCTCTGAACCTTGATGTTTGGTATATGCTGCCCTTCTGCTTTCTATTATTTGATGTTTTGACCACAGAGGTGGGTTCAGTTCTAGATCTGAAGCGTAACTAAGGTGGGGGTCCCACCTGTCTCTTGCCAACCAGCAAGCCTTGTATCCTTTAACACCTTCCGTTTTGTTCTACATTTTTCTTGCACTATATTCAGGACCTTCCATTGTGATCCTGTTCAGAGCAATTGGTAGTGGTCTCAGGGCTCTGGAGACTGGTGTTTGCATGGTTTACATTGAACTAATTCTCTTGATTTTCAACATTCTGCTTTTATCTTGGTAGGGAGAGATCAGTAGTTGCATCTTGGATGGCTGCTCACAGGCTTTGAAGACCCAGTCACTACTCACCCAAGTAGGATATAGAACATTGTCTTTGTGCACTTTGTTTTACCAGTAGATGTTGATGTCATCCGATACGCTGAACCTGATCCAGACTCTGAACCAGGCCCAGCAACTCATTATTTCAAGGACTTTAGTTATATCTGAGAAGTGTGCATCACTTTGCCTCCTGTATGCACTACCACAATCTGGGATCGATTATAGCTGGTCTTAACCTATGTGGCACCAATCAAGAAATGTGAACTCATTGAGTTGATTCTGATGTATATGCAAAACAAGTTTTTACAAAAGCAGAGACTGCTGCATCTTTCTTCTGTGGAGAGGCAGGAAAGTTCAGACTGCTTACCATTTGGTTAGCAGCTGAGTGCTGCCACCACTGTGGCACCAGGGCTCCTCTACTCTGCCACCAGGACTGACATCCTGTATGACACTCAGGTTTCAGAAGATTTTAATCAAACATTTGCAAATTGTGTTATGCAAATGTAGGATTTGAAGTAAGGAAGGACTAGGGGACTAGGAAGATGGAAAACTCGGAGCTGGCCTGGTTCCAGGCTTCCCACCTTCTTTCAACCAGGCCACTTTTATTTTTATCAATTTTCTATATTAGATTTCTGTATTTACTTTGGAATCTTTATTAACCCACCTTTACCTCACCAACCCGAAAGGACAGGGTTTTTTTTTCTTTCCCTTCTAAAAGATAAAAAGCATATTTAGTACCTATCTGGTGAAAAACTGCTCAATGCTTTCTATTTGCTTAACTTAATTCCCAGCGATCTCCAGGAGAACATTAAGTAAGCCAGATGTGAAAAGTGACAGAACTGGGAGCTAGTCTCAGTCCTCCTGGTACTTGAGGCTCGGTGTTATTTTATGTTCTACCTACCGAATAATAAGCTCTATGTCTGTGTCATAACTATTTCCATTACTCGCCCTTTCATAGTTAACCTCAGAAGAGCACAATTTATTTGCTGCCTCTTATGTAACTCTGTTGTGAACCCTGCATTCCAGCAGAGTCTTCAATTTTGTTTGCCTCATTTGTCCTGAGCTTTCCTGAATCTGTGTTGTATGTCCGATTTCTTCTGGAGTATTCTCGCTTTCTATAGGTGAATCCTACCCACTCATGTCTTTTTGACTGCAATTTGCATGTCTTTTCTCTTTCTTTTTTTTGTTTTTTGTTTATTCATTCACATTTCCCTTTTATTTTGTTGTTGAGAATATACACAGAAAACATATACCAATTCAACCATTTCTTACAGTTCGGTGTATAATTACATTTCAAGGCTCTCCAAGGAAGCAAGACCAGGGTGCTCTTTTTTCCTTTGTTCCTGCAGCTCCATGATTTTAAATATTAATGGACTAGGGATTTATTACTGTGAGCCCTGGTGGTGTACTGGATTATGCATTAGATTGCTAAACCACAGGGTCAGTAGTTCAAAACCACCAGCCAGTTTGTAGGAGACAAATGAAGCTTTCTACTCTATTAAAGGTTTACAGTCTCAGAAACCCATGGGAGTGGCTGTACTCTTACAGTCTGGCTATGAATAAGAATCGACTTGACCCAATCAATTTGGAATTTTGGAGGGATTTATTGGCAGTTGTGACAAGAAAACAGTTATTTTAAAGAGCTATTATCATTAAGTTAAAAAAAAACTGTAGTGATATTGAAAGAAATAATGATAGTCAGACACTTCAGGGAAATTAAAAGATAACTTTAAAGTTTTAATGCATTAATAATATTGAAGTGAGATCAGAATTATCCAAAAGAGTTGTATAGAGAAAAATCCAGGAGAAAGTAAAGAGTTGGTTATGTGGTAAAAAATAATAAAGCAACTTGTGGCTCAGGATTTTGTTGTTGTTATTTTGTGTCTGCATGTATTTGATTTCACCACTTTAAAAAGTTTTTAAATGAGAAAACTCAGGGATTAGAAAATGGAAAGAAGAATTTTGTAGAAATAACTGCAGTTGATACTTTGGTGTTTGTCTTTTCAGGTGTGTGTGAAAACGAATGACGGTCTCAGAAGCCCACAGGGGCACTTTTACCCTGTCCTGAAGGGTTGCTCCGAGTCTGAACTGACTTGATGTTAGCGAGCTTGGTGTGGGAATAGAAATAATAGAAGTGTTAGTGATTTATATGGAAATGATGGACATAGAGAGTAGTTTTTTAAAATCCTGAAAAACAATTATGAAAACCCTGGGTCAAAATCAGTGTGCGAAAGGAGGACAGACCTTTGAACTGCAGAAGGGGAAGAAGAGCAAGGAAAGGCACCGGAAGGTGTCAGGGTCTCCTGGCAGGAGAACAATTGGCAGCAGAACTTGGAAGCTGGAGACAGGAAGAAAGGAACCACAAACACCGAGGACTATAGAATTGAAAAATAAGGACTGGGAAGAGCTCGTGATATTGGACTAGTGAAGGTTGTTAGTGACGTTCAGTGATTTCAGTTGGATGATTGTTTGGAAGGTAGGACTTTGATACAAAGAAGCCCAGCAGAGAGGACAATGTTTTAGTAAAAATCCAAAGGACAGCTTAGGGGGGTAGTTGAGAAAATCAGTAATATGCTGAGGTGACATGTGGGGATTGAAATCATTCATGTTAGATGAACTCTGGGTAACTTTTAGTAGAAAGTGAGCAGTAAGGGCCTCTGGACAAATGGGTTTATGAATTAAGGAATTCAATAAGTGGGTCATAAAGAAAGCTATTGAATACTGGGTGACATGGCAGGAGGATAGAGTAACATCAATGTCTACTAGGTGGTGGTACTGAGTTTGTTAAAGATTTGGATTTTCCAGTTTTTCCCTCATCTGTTTTCAATGACATATGTCAAGGGAAAAAGAAACCAGTGACAGCTATCATAAGGCAAGCTTAGTGAAGATGATAGTTACTGAATAGCTGAGGAATCAGATAACATTGGTGCTGAATGTGTGTGTGTGTGTGTGTAGAATTTTTTGGAAAAGATACTAGGAGGCTGTTTGAGGGAGGTTTTTAAGGGTAGGAAATAAATCCAGATGCTGTGGTTGGCGGGGTGATCTTTGATTAGATAGAGCCCTGTTGATGTGTGCTATTAGTAATGATGATGGAAATGGATATGAAAGATTATATGACCTAGGCATAACCATCTATGACCAAATGTGATTTGTGGGTCAACACAAAAAAGAAAATTATATGATTTGTTAACATAAATGGGCCCCTGGAAATCCTAGAAAATGGTAGAAAAGATTATTTGAACAGTTTTTCTTCAGTGGAGTTCATCAAACATTGTGCCCGGTGTACCCTGTATTAATGAGCAGAGTACTG